ATGTTAGTGAAAATGCAAATTGAGCCCTAATTCGTTCGTTTTGGTTGGGTGTATTGTTATTTATTTGAGTCGGTCAAGATCAACTCTGTTTATCAAAGTGCTTCTCCGATTGCTCAAGACATATCTTTTCAACTGAGGAACAAAACAAGATCATTTCGTTCCATTTTTAGTCAAATAGTGAAGGATATTCCATTAGTAATGAATAAAGGGGTTGAGGGGATCTGTATATGTTGTTCAGGTCGATTAGAAGGCGAAGAAATAGCTAGAACTGAATGCGGAAAGTAAGGAAAAACATCTAGTAATGTATTTAACCAGAAAATCGATTATGCTCCTACGGAAGTATCTACTCCTTACGGAATCTTAGGTGTCAAAGTTTGGATTTCTGTTAGTAAAAAAAAAGGGGTAGAGTTGATCGACTGTTATACAGTAATGCATTTATGTTTGGGTTGCATTTTTGAATCGTCGTTGTTCCTTGAATCTTTGCTGTTGTGATGTCTTTGCTGAAGGTAAAGTGGTTGCATTCTTTATTGGGGAGTTTTCCCAAGTGTCCACTGCCTTTGGTGCTTGGTGTGATGTTTACAGAGGTGTAGGCTGGATCTTGGAGTTTTGTTAGTTGTTTTGTGCTGGGGAGGTTTTGTTTCCTGCTGGTTTCTGTTTGGCTTGACCGTTTATGATTTCTGTCCAACCGTTTTTTCTTTGATGATTTGTATAGGCATCCTGGCTGGCTGTGTTGGTCTGGATGTATTCTTGTATACATTTGTGAAATAATATATAATTTATAGATTATATTCACACATTTTATTACTGTGTTATCCTAAGTTTCTTGTTATTCATTATTTATATAAAATTGGGCAATTAGTATTAATCTTTATTACTTTTTTGGTAGCATTACGACAAACCTGTTCAGCTCTCCATAAATCATACAACTATTTACATTTTGTCTGAACTTGGTAAATTTTCTAGCAGAAATTTAAGTTCCTTGTCTCTTTCTTTGTACCAACCCATTGTAATTAATAAGGTTTTGGTTTGTTGCTGTTATTTTTCAACACTCTTGTTTGAAGAAAGAGAACATCAGGCTTTCATTTGTTCCTGCTCTGAATATTCGGATTCCTGCCCATCATTTTGAATAGGTATAATTTTTGTTTTTGAACCCACTACTGCACCTGCGTTTTGCTTCTCAAATTAAATGCATGTCTGTACTAGTTTGAACATGGTAAAAGCGCATATTTGTTTCTCTTATTTTTTACAAAGTTGGCTTGATAACAAGTAATCGTTACATCATATGTTGTTCTAGTATTCTGTTAATTTTAAGCCTGATGTTTTGGTGTTGAATTGAAATCTAGTTTCAAGATGTTGGAGTTGTTTGAAATTTATGTATGTTATGTCCTCTTCCCTCAAATATGACAATAATCCAATGTTCCTTTGTGGACAACAATGGCTCGTTTAAGTAAAAGGCAGAAGCATTTGGTGTCACTTATGATGATGTATTTTCATTTGATGGACACTCTAAATGCCATACTAGTTTTTACGACGATTGCCTTGCTACTGAAGAATAGGAATAGACATAGACGAGGCATATCATATGCGGGTAACTTTTGCAGTAACCATACCATTAGGACCCTCAATTTACGGAAAATGATTTTTCAAGATGATAACCAATTTGTAGTGAACTGTAGAATGAATATAACAACTTTTGAAAAATTATGTGCGTTACTTCAACATGAAGGGGGGTTAAAATCAAGTAGAAATACATCTGTAGAGGAAATGGTGTGTAGTTTTCTTCACATTTGTGCACACCATATCAAGAACAGAGTCTTTAGTCGCCAGATAGCTAGGTTCGGTGAGATAGTTAGTAGAAATTTTCATGCAGTGTTGAATGCTGTTTTAAGAATGCATACAATTTTACTAAAAGAACCTGAGCCTATCATGGAGGACTCAACAGATGAACGTTGAAAATGGTTCAAGGTACATAATGAAAAACCTAAACATTATATTATGGCAGTTTTTATGTAGGTTTCTTTTTAGTACAACACTAATTTATTACATTTGTGTTATCCTTTCGGTAGAATTGTTTGAGTGCATTAGATGGAACACATATTAGGGTTCAAGTTCGCGCCCATGATAAACTTAGGTATCACACTCGGAAAAATGAAATTGCGACGAATGTTATTGCTGTTTGCACACCAAAAATGCAATTCATTTATATTCTCCCTGGGAGGGAAGGTTCAGCTACTGATAGTAGAGTCCTTAGAGATGTAATTAGTAGGAGAAATGGATTAAAAGTCCCTCAAGGTATAGTTTCTATACAATTTTCCAAGTTCATTACAGTAATGGTGAATGATTAGATGAGTATCCGTAATTGACATTTTTATTGTCATGCTAGGTTTTTACTATTTATGTGATGTGGGTTACACCAATTGGGAAAGGTTTTTGGCACCTTATAGAGGGCAAATATACCATTTGAATGAGTGGAGAGATGGTTACCAACCAACGACACCTCAAGAATTTTTCAACATGAAACACTCCCGAGCAAGAAATTGCATTGAGAGATATTTCGGCATCTTGAAAGCTAGTTGGAAGATTCTAAGTGAGAAATCTTTCTACCCTATCAAAACGTAGTGCAGAATAATATCCGCTTGTTTCCTGTTACATAACTACATTAGGTCTGAGATGGCCATTGACCCTATGGAAAGTGAGGTTGGTGAGATGAACAATACATCACCGGAAGCTAATCCCGAACCTGAATTTATAAGCCATGTGGAGCCCAATGATGCATGGACTGCATGGAGGGATAATCTAGCATATAAGATGTTTGAAACTTTGCAACAATCTAGGCAATTGTAATTAGTTTAGGTTGTTTTTTCTTTGGTTGCAATACTTATGCTGTTTTGTACTTTGTAATATGTATATATATATTGCAATTTGCATGGCATAATGACTTTTGATGTTTGAATGTAAGTTATTTGTCTTGGATTATATGTTTTTCATTTTTGATTCTTCTATTGTATAAATATATTCTTGCCTTTTATTATTTATTGAAGGGTTGTATCATTTAATAATTCAAGTTTTTTACATGAAAAAGTGATGGTTTTTTATGGACAATTATCTAATCAAAGAAAGAAAATAAAGGTAAAGAAAGGAAAGTACTGTTGGCCAAAATCTTCCATATCAACATAAGCTACTGTTAGGTTGATAATGTTTATGACCATTGTAAATTTTACTTGGGATGGAATGCCTATAGGAAGAAATGTACTTTAGAATTTCTAAATCCAGACAACTCATTTGAAAGAGTTACAGGCACCGATAAGTGAGGACTAGCTAGTAGTTTTTGCTATTTTGTTCTTATTGTAGCTCTTGTTTTATGGTTCTAGTTATTTTCTTCTTATGTTGGTCTATGGCTGTTGCTGGAACTAACTTGGTGTACTGTTGTAGTTCTGTTTATATATGAATTGATATAATTCAGTATTTGCTTGTTCTTGGATTAATCTGGGGTATTTTGGAGTTCTGTGCTGTTTGACTCTGTGTGTGTGGTTGTGGAAGTGGTTCTGGGTAGTTGTTGTTGTGAGTGATATTTGCAGGTGAATAATAATTTTTTCTTCATATTCAAAATTGCATGGGGTGGACTATTTTAGACTTGGGAAGCTTTACGGTTGTTATCTAATTTGATTGAAGTTTCTCTTTTGCTTTTTCGTTTATGATATTGACTCGTAAGCTAGTTAATGCTGCTTTCATTAGTATCAGGTAGCTTTCACTAGTAGCAAAGTTTTGGTGGAATTTTTTTTGCATCGAATATGTTTCTCAAAAAAGAGTGAATTTATTGAAGATACAAATTGCTTCAAGTTTTTTTTCTTTTGTTTTATCTCATCTTTTATACAGCTTCAGATTTGGGATTACATTGTTATTCCTTTTCAAAATGCTTGATCAATTTTCTTAAAAGTGTGAATATGAAATGTTTTGCTTCGTTGCATAGGCTTGTGAAGTTTATCATGCTATTTTTCCATAACTTTGTATTATTGATTAAATAATTTTCATAAGATCAATACTTAGGATTCTTCTTTTATCCATCTATCAATTTTTAATTTCCGTATTATCATTAGAAATGATTCTTGTACATTTATTATTGAGCTCTGTTTGATTCCATTCTCGTTTATGTCAGTGAAAGTTTGTCCTTTTGTAGAGTCAAAAACTATACACAGTTTGCAAATCTATCAATAATAGTAATTCAAAAGTCACTTTATATTCTGTTGATAACAGTGATGCTCATGATTGTTCTACAGGAAAAATAAGTTGTACACTATACCTTTTCTCGTATTATTAAAGAATTATGGCAGAATAGCAGTGGTTTAACTTGCTTTTTTTTGGTTAAAATTAGTCTTTAATAACTCTATTAATTAGGAGATTAGTGGTTAAAGTCTCATGTTTATCAAATAGTCCTACAACTTTGTGCTAAGGGGCTTGGCGTTTTTGCCTGCTTTAAATCTTTCTTTCCTTATGAGGTATCTAAGTTTTCTGCATGTCGTTGTAACCTAGGAAATAGGAGGATGCCTCTTTAATGAAATTTACTTGTTGGAATAGCAGCATATAGGAAGAGTGAGAAGCCAATCAGTGTTTGTTATTGAGGAATTCCATAAAGATTTTCCACTTGGACCAAATTATGACTCTGTATTATTGACATCTATTTGTCTTGGACTATATATTTTTCGTTTATGAATCTTCTACTGTATAAAAATATTCCTGACTTTTATTATTTAGTAAGGGGTAGTATCATTCAAGATTTAATTATTTGCCTAATAAATGTTTCATTTCTTTTTCTTAACAGTTTATTCAACAATGGATAAGTCGGCAACAGCTAGTGGAAGTCAGGATATGCCTTTGACAATGTATGACCCACGCATCAGTAATAAAGGGAAGAAAAAAGCCAGTGGAACTGGAAGGAAAAGACAATGGACAAAAGAGGAGGATGTCATTTTAGCTAATTGTCTACTTACTTTGAAGGAATGATGTCATTGGGTGTTGACAATGGTACTTTCAAAACTGGGTTTCTTGTCCAACTAGAAAAGATGATGGCAGAAAGAATTCCATCTTCTGGGTTGAAGGCAACACCACATATTGAATCACGATACAAGCTATGGAAAAGGCAGTATGCTGCCATTTCAGATATGTTAAATCACGACAGTGGCTTTGGGTGGAATGATGAAGATAAATGCATAATTGTAAGCAATGATGTGTTTGAGGAGTGGGTGAAGGTAAGGTTTTTTCTATCTTCAATGCATCAGTAAATTTTATCAGTATATTAATTCTAAATGTCATCTATCATTTCTTTTCTTTGACAGAGCCATCCAACTGCACAAGGATTAAGGAACAAACCTTTCCCCCACTATGACACATTAGCCATTGTTTTCGGTAGGGACCGGGCAACTGGAGCTAGAGCGAAGACCCCAGCTGATGCTGTTGAAAATCTTAATTCAGAAATTCCCAAAAACAACAATGAATCAATGGATGTTGATGTTGATGTTGATGCTAATAAAGGAAGTAATGTTCCAGACAAGGATGATGTGGCTGCCTTTGGAGCTTGTGGAACTCGTAGGAGATCTAGTAGCAACAAAAGAAAAAGAAATGACGATGGCATCTCTGAAATGGTGGACCAAATGAAGAAGTTGAGGGATACGTATGAGGTTGCTTGCTTCCCGAGGGATGGAAAAGTTGGCTGCAGCTTTTGACAAATTGGAGGATAGAAGTCAACGTTTGTTTGCAGAAATTGAAGAATTGGGACTTTTAACCCCAACAGTTACGATAGATGTTTTGGAGGTAATGTGCAAGGATTAGCACAAGATAGATGTTTTCATGGGGTTACCGGAGTCACTTAAGAGGACATATGTCTTGCGCATACTAAATGAAAGTAATGTCTACCGCCCACCTTTTAGCCCTTGACACAATCAAGTTGACAGGGTTATAAATATTTTTGACTCGTAATTAAGTCTATGCTGTCTTGTCTAAGGACATATAAATCTTTAGATGTTTTTGATGTGTTTGTTACTAAAATGGTAATGGGTTTAGGTTCCCACATGGGCAGTAGATGTATATTTTGTCGATCACCCGCCAGTAAAAGGAAAGCAACATCAAGGAGGGCTTTTGTAATTGAACACGAATGGAAGAAGTCCAAAGTTAGTAACCAAAGCATTTGAAGTGTCCATTGAAGACAGCCGAAGTGTGAAGACATCTTTTGTCACGGTGAGTAATTCTTAAAGGCATGATTTTTATTGTTGCAACTTCTTATTGGATTATCTTTATTGGCAGGCAAAAGGAAAGAATGAAGGCATGATTGATCACAGTTTGATCCACTCATTGTTGAGCTCCAGCTAAACTAAAATCAAAACTTCAAGCACTCTGCTTTTTGTTCTGTTCTTGTAAAAATCTGTACTAAGTTTAATGTTTATGAGTTATTGCTTCTATGTTGCTTTCAGTTGGGTGTGTTAGATATGTTGGTTGTGTTGGATGCTATAATCTTGTTCTAAATATTTTCATTTGTTGTTACATTGGTTCAGATAAATGCATGACAAAGTGTAATGGTGGTAATGAAATGGAACAGATAATCAAGTGATAAACTGATTACTTATACAAGAACAACAAAAAAACCAATAAGCAAAATAGCCAACCCTTAAGAACAGCAAAAGAACCACCTAGGCTGCTGTAAAAAAAAGACAGCCAACCCTTATACAAGAACAACAAAAAAAACCAATAAGCAAAATAGTTGTTGCCCACAAACACTACAAAAATAGTAGTTGTTAGCTCAAAAAAAAACTGCAGTTGCCGGCTAAAAAAAAAAACTGCAGCACCTCACTAGTAGAACACCAACGACAACATTTAAAAAATTCCCGCATAAAAAAGAAGATAAGTGTTGTCACTCACTCTGTCATTCATTACTACAGAATCATCATTTGGATGTTCTTTCTTAATTCTCAAGACTTCCTGCAATATCAAAATGCCATTTCAGTTCATGTAAAGTAAAATAAATGAATCATAAAAAACAGAGAACAATTACAAAGTATTAGTCTGAGTTAAAGAAAATCACCTCCTCCACATAAGTGTTGTGATCAACAGTCAGCTAAACAGATGTCAAGTTATTTAGTCTGTCGATTTCGCCATCATCAAATGCTTCAACGTCATGCATAGTTTCCTCTTTAATTCTTTTTAAGTCCTTCCGCGCCCTCCCTAATATGATATTTGGCTCAAGTTTCTTCGCTAAAACTGCCCGACTATCCCCAACATTCATCAAATACACATCCTCTCCCTTCATCAACATCGCCAAAACACAAGAACCCATCAAAGCCAATTCAGGAATCTCCCTCACCATCAAATCTGCAACCTCTAAATACGAGTCCTTTGTCTTCTTTAAGGCAAGTGAAAGCGCCTTCAGGACATCCGAATGGTTGACCCCGTTTGACACTTCACAGTTTAATTTTTCCTTCAACTTCCTATCAAGCTCTAGCCTTTCCCTATCCCATTCACACCTCCACCTCTTTTGATTCTCCTCCCGTTTCTTCGCCACACCTTTCGCATTCTTTTTCTTCTTTGGTTTCGAAGTCTCATCTATAACACCATTTCCCATAGGATGATTGTTCTCCTTATCAATATGAAATTGATTTAATTCATCAAATAAAGACGATGCCTCACTTGAACTCAACGAATTCTCGGCAGATTCAAACTTATCATTCCATATCAACCCTTTGAGTTCCTTATGAACAACAGAGTATAAATTAGAAAGCAAATAATCAGGAGCATCAGGACTGTTAAATCCATCATAAATCTCACCAAAAGCCGGCAACTGGCTGTCCATGAGCTATTACGTTGCTGGCTTCTGGCGGTCGGCAGTGGTTGCCGACGGCCAACAGTGGCTGGGTTAGTGGGGGTGTATTGTTCATTTTCCAAACTTTTATTATGGGGTTGTTTTTGCTAAGTTTTTAAATATAGGGAGTTATAATAATCTAAATAATATTATAATAATAATATTTAATTAAAGGACAATTCAGTAATTTAAACAATATACCCACCAATTTATTCCTTCTAACCAAACATATTAATAAAACATACCACCAATTTATTCCAACTAACCAAACACATTTTCCTAAAGATTCCTATTAATCTTCCAAGATAATCTATCTTTCTAGTAATCCAACATTCCCAGTAATCTAACATTCTTGAACCAAATGCCCCCTAAAAGGTAATCTTTTTTTCTGTTAATATAATATCCCTATAATAAAACATTATATAATCCAAACACCCCCACTTTCTCATCTTCCAAAACTAAACCAAGAGGTTTTATTGTCAGCTTTTTCAAAACCTGACCATCCTTCAAGAAAAACTATAGCTCATCTTTCCGCCCATTGAAGCTCGGAATGCAGATGGAATTCCGGCTTGAAAGCAAAAATTTCGCCACACCTTTGACGTGAATTCCAATCATACTCCCTTTGAATCTTGCACCTCAAATAACCAAAGAGAAATTTCAGAAAAATTGCAATCAAAGCGCTTATAGCAGCTTCCTAGAACTTCATATTAATATGTATAACTTAACTTTCCAGGACAAGAACCTTGTGATCATGAGCGCATTTAATAACCTTCACCAAGATTAAGGAACATTGAATTAGAAAGTACCAATTAAAAAGCAGAAAGCACTTAAAAAAAGCACGATGAGGATCAAGAAATAGAAACGAATTCAAGGAACATCAGGTTTCTTTCTCAGAAGCTGAAACGCATATCCTGGGCAATCTGAATTCTGTCCACCATGATGTTTAAAGCAGCTTCCGAAGTTAATATAAGCCTCAACCACAGAGCTCAGGCTCGTAACTACAAGCTTAGCTGTGGCATGAATCAGAAGAAGGTGTTCATACGATGTTCTGAATAATATAAATAGCTTCTTCAAAGCAGGTTCAACAATTGTGAAATTAGCAATAGTATCTTTCACTTTCACATATCCTTCGCAATTCTTCAAGTACTGAGCAGCTACAAAAGAGCCTCTCTGCCGCTTCTTTAGATATACAACCTATAGCATGAAGGGCCTTGAGATCAAGCTTGGAAGACTGAAAATGCAGAAAGGAGTCTTAGGTGGTACAATAACATCGTTGTTACTTGTTCGCAAACATTATGCTGAACTGCATACCGTATACAGGACATAACGCAAGACAAACCAGTCGGTCTATTTCTATAGAAAGAGAGCTTCAGTTTTCTAATATGTGTTGTGCCGCAAAGACTGAGTAGTTGGATCTAACTTGCTAACAAAAGCTTCTGCTTCACTTTGCAGTCTAATTTAGATGAGAAGTTAATTCAAGATCAGGGATTAATGTCCAGCCACCTACGTGATAGGATGCTGGTCCTTCCAGATAATTTTAATGGAAGAAAAGAAAGTATGTCGGAAAGAATACCATTTGGTAGTTCACTTATCAGGTCCTTTCCATTGTCACATTCTTGATGGTTATCTAAGGATGAATCCATCAATAATACAATGGACGAATTGAGAAAAAGGAAAAAATATATGCACAGGCTACGGTTTCTACTTTCCATAAGAAGATGTAAACGAAGAGGAAACTTTGGCGGATATGTAGGAAGAATGATTATTTTAAAAACATTTATTTAATAGTTTATTTGATTTTAAATTTTGTTAATTTTTAATTTAAGGGTAAAATAGACTTGATATAATTAAATTAGAAATAATTTTTTACGGGAAAACGACACATAAGTCTGTCAATCAAGCACTTTTGAGTTTTGAATTGGAAGAAACTGACAATAAATTATTTTTAACGAAAAAAATGTTAATTATTTGGAACCAAAACTGTTAAAATTAAAACATATGTTAATTATAATCTTAAAAAAATAATATATTAACATTAACATGATAACATAAGCCTTTTTAGATTAAACAAAAGGAGCTTTTCAAATTATTACTCTTTTAATTGATAATTACATTACACAATCAAATAAATACAAATTATCTAATAAAAAATTTAACCTAAAATGAGTTGATGAATATAATATATTAACTAGGAAAGTCATGGCCTCATGGGAAACACATGTCACTGTAACATAACTGCATATGGGGCTTTTCTAGAAGTGCTTCCTCATTCTCCGAAGTCCAAAACCTCTATTAAACAGACGGACTTCTAAGACTCAACCTTTTCCTTTTCCTTTTCCAAAACTTCACCGTTAATATTCTTCAAAACAAAACTTCGTTCAATTTCTCTCTATTGAATTCCTTATTTATTGTAGTGAGTCAACAGCACAATGTATCACTGCATAAGGAAAACGAATCGTTCCCGACTGCCTCTGTTGCAGTCCCATTCTAATTTAGGATACAAAACAAAACCATAAAGCACCTCCTTCTCTCTCTCTCTCTCTCTGTGTTTTATTGCTCAAGAAACCTCTAGAAACCCTTTGATTTTCTTTATACATAGCCGTTGATATTTTCTTCATACATTGTGTGTTAGGATAAAAAATGGAACTGAAAATGCCCAGCGGTGATGACAAATCCTTCTTCAAAAAAGGCTCTTTAGTTGAAGTGAAAAGTAATTCAGATGGGTTTCAAGGTGTTTGGTACGTGGCGAAAGTATTGGAGCCACCAAAACCACGATTTCCTCCTTCTCCTCCCAACAAAAGGACTAAAAATGTTGGAGTTTTGCATGTAGAGTACCAAACTTTGCTATCTGATGACGACTCTGGAAAGGCATTAACTGAAAACATTAAGTCCTCTTTTGTGAGGCCTTTGCCTCCAAACGATGAGCATGACCTTCAAGTCAATGATTTTGTTGATGCGATGCATCTTGATGGGTGGTGGGTTGGCGTGCTTGTGGAAATAAACCAGGAGTCAAAGATTTACTCTGTGTACTTTGAGAATCCACCTGAGTTGCTTCATTTTAAGCGTCATGAGTTGAGGGCTCACTGGGATTGGGAAGGAGGCAAGTGGATCCGACCCCAAAAGCAGGAGGCCGAGATCATTAGTCGGGCTCTGCGCCGTTTTAAGGTATTCAAGTTCTTTAAGTTTGTTTCATGTAAGTTGGTTACATAGAGTTTTTGTTTTTATGAGTATGTTAGATGATTTGTTTGAGTTCTGAGTCAAAGGTGCCATATTTTTAAAATCTTATTCAGAGAAGGTAATTAAAAATAGTAAACCCGATAGCTTTTGGTTGGTGAAGTTTATAAATGAAGTGCTTTCTGAGTATGGTGGTTAATTTATTTGATTTTTGAGTCAAAGGTGTCAACTTTTTCAGATTTTATGCAAAGAATGAAAAGAAAATTCTTAAAGCTGATAACTTTTTAGGTGTGAAGTCTATAAATGAAGTTGGTTTCTCTCTGTTTTCTTCTTAAGCGTTCTCTATTTTATTGTTCTTCATTGTAGTTATTTAGTTTCATATGGAAAGTAGAAATGCTCCATCATGTGCCGTACATTTTCTGAGTGTGAATAAAACAATGGAGTTAACTAAAAATTAGGATTTTCATTTTCATTTTTATTTATTAAATAAAATTTTTATCATCGTCCCCAGATTTGATTTTTCCTTCATCCCCTTGCAAATTCTAATCTGTTTTAGGTGTATTAGTTTCCGAAATGGATTCAGCTGTTCCAACTCAACTAGTGTCTGTGTTCATTGATTCGAATATTTTTAATATCTATAACAATAAATCCCTGAAATAGAATAAACAAAATAGCACTCCTTTATGTCAATCTAATCACATTGTTTCTGGATGTCTTTGATGGCATGCAGTATGAAAAAAAGTCACCCTGCAGCGGCACTGCTAATCCTGAAGAAACTGATATTGTGGCAAATTGCAAGAAACTAAAATCAGTAAGTGCAAATATTGCTTTACTTATCCAAGAATATCAGCTAAGATCAGTGTGAAATTTTGTTCTCCTGAATTTCATTTGACCTTAACTCCGTCTCATGCATGATGTTTAATCTTGCTTTTGAACCAGATAGCAAAGAAGAAAGGTCGACCTCGCTGTTTGAAAAGAAGGAGAGGAGAGAGACAAAAAACGTTGGCTAAAGGTACACAAACTCTAGTGGTATACTTGGAGCAACAAATTTGTCTTCAGATTCATAAATTCTTTTCATTCTTCTATAAATATGCATTATGCCTTGCAGGTCAAAAGTGTGACGGATCCAGTGATACTGTTGATGTACTTTTTATAAAGGACTATGATAGTATTGATGCTGAATCACCCATAAGCACTGGAGAGTTTAAACGTACAAAACTTGATGGAGCCGGAGATGATGTTGATAAATTGGTATTAAAGTATCACGAGATTGATGATGGATTATCAAGAGAAAACATGGAAGAATCTAAAGTTAGAAAGCATGATGGAGCTGGAAGTTCTGTTAAAAAATTCGCTTTCAAGGATCATGCAATTGATGCTGAGTCGGCTAAAAAAACAGGAGATTCTGAAGGTACAAAGAATGATGGAGCTGGAGGTGATGCTGATAATATGGTTTTAAAATATCCTGTGATTATTGATGCTGAATCACTAACAAATACAGCAGAATCTAAAGGTAAAAAAACTCAAGTGAATGGTATGTGATAACTTGATGCTACTGTTATGTCTTCAGATTTACATTTTCTTACACATAAAGAAGTATTATGATTTTTCAGATGAGAAGTGTGATGGAGCTGGAGTAGCTGTTAATAAAATGAACTTACAGGATTGTGCTAGTAGTGGTGTTGAATCTTCTAAAATCACTGGAGAGTCTAAAGGTATGGAGCTTATTCTACTTCAAAGCAGATCTTGAATAAACCATAAAGCAAACTAAAATAGCTACAAAATCATGGTGCATTATCATTGGAGAAAAAAAGGCCATATCTAAAAGTTGCACCAGCATTCAGCGATGAACTTGACAAGCATATGCTGTAGAAAATAATACTACGGAAGAAAAATGTTAATGATTGATCTATTTTTCTTCTTTTTTGTAATGTCAGACTTAGACACTAGGTGTTCTTAAATTACTAGTTGAACATGTTTGTTGCATCTTTTGTGAAACATCTTTGAATATCAGCTACAGCAGTCCACTAGTTTGTTTACATGTTTCCTCGGCTATTGTGCAACATTTACACAATTAACGCATATGTGGGATGAAAACTTTTGTAATTAGTGAAATGAAATACCATCTCCTTTCTCATAAAAATTGATGTTTGTGGGAGGCTTGACCTATCCTGAGAATGATTACCATGAAAGGAAAGATGAGATAAGTTCTGATGTTGCACATCCTAGATATTGTGCTAAATTGCTAATCATAATCAAAGCCAAGCATTTCATTTTCTTTGAGCTGGGAGACATATTGAAATAAAATAGTTGGGCCTTGGTTTCTTATCCTTTTGTTTAGCATATGGTCTATTTCTTCTTTTGTTTGGACTTTTCTCGTTTTGGATCTTAACTCCTTTCATGGATTTTTCAGGTTCTAAAGATGCATCAGCAGAACAAGCAGCTAACATTTCTGATACAGGTTGCAGTACAAGAGAAGCTGAGATGGCCATTGTACAGTTAACGGGCGACGTGGATACTGCTGCTAAACCTATATCGATGTGGTTTGATGAGTTATGCAATCGAAAAATAGTGATCGACTCAAGTAAGCTGATGTGAGTTTTAATCTAGTCCCACTTGTTATAGTTGGCTTGATAAATTGGTTTTGGTTTTTCTTGTCCAGGGTTTCTCTGTGGTAGGACTTTCTACCAGAACCAGAGGAATAAGGCTGAAGGAAAACTAATTGAAATTGTAAAGGAATCTACTGCAAACGACTCAGTCAGTGATGGAGTAAGAGATGAGCATCAGTGCTTCCCTGGTATGGAGCCTTCATCAATGCGGAAAACTTTTATCGAGTCTGTAGAAGTATTGGAAACAATGCCACAGAAGCCTCACTTCCATCCTTTAAAACGATGCAAAGAGATGTTTCGCGATGGATTAGCATTTGGTTACATGATAACTTTTGCCAAAGTGGTAAAGCGGACATCTGAGTTACAAGTCAATGACCCAAAGAGCATCTTTGATAGCATTTCTGAAACTCTTCAAGACTTAGAATTGCATGGCTTTGATGTTCAGCCTATACGGAATCGTCTGACTGAGCTGCAGTTAATGAAAGATAGACAAGAACAGCTTCAAGAAGTGTCGAAAGAATTTGAACATCAGATCTTAGAACGCACTCATGAGCAAATGAAAATCAATGCAGAGTTTGCTGAAGTTGTTGAGGGAATGAAGTTATTAGAAGAAAAGAAGAGAAAGATTATGTTACTTATGCAAGAAAATGATTCGAAGATTACTGAACTGAAAACAGATTTGGAAGTTTGTAACCAGGATATTCAGAATGCCCAGCTTGATTTTGAAAGTCTGGCTGCAGCTTCTTGGTGACTGATCTGCATTTTGCATACCTCTTCTGGGTTCTGCTGTCTTAGATTGTTGGATGGTCTAATGAAACTGTTTTTTGATGTTTAGAACGCGCGATAAGGTTCAAGATTAATCTTAAAGTTTATAGGGCCGAAAGTAGGAACTTGATTGGCACTTTTGTTAGCTCTTTATTTTCAATAACTGTGTACATAGTCCTTGAGTTACTGTGCAGTTAATAGTTCTTCAGGATGGAACTAAGAACACTGATATTGTGGATGAACTTACTATTACAAAACATCTATAGTTTGAATCAGGATCTCTTATTGATCTAATTTTACTTTCAGTTTTATAGCCATGTGGATATTAATGATTCATTGATAAGATAAAAACTCAGATTAAGATAGCATCCTTATCTTGTTCAATGCTTGGATTGTAGCTTCTTGTGTAGTGAAACTTTTTGGTCTCTCCATTTATTTTGTATGAAGGCTCTGATTAGCACAAGAATCTTTATACATTTCATAAAGAGGTTGACACTTGTTTATCTTGTAAATGTCCATACCAATGAGGCTATGATCTGAAAATAAAACATGCTTCAGGTCATTTAGATTTTCTTCCAATTGATTAGATGCATTATTCAGATGTGGCAAAAATTAAACCCCCATAAAATACAGGGTTACAAGAAAAGAGCTCTGCTATTTCATTAGTTGAAGAATTTTGAAAATGAAGAATCTTGATTCAAGCAAGCCAAACCAAGCTGGGAACACTGAATAAACATATGCTTTTTTCGGTTAAATTCAATATTGTAACAGGAGTCCATGGCCTGATAATCTAAGTGACCAGGATGGACATCTTTTATCTAAAAACTAGCAGTTTCAGGATCCCCCAGGATCAAAATATCCTGGATTTTTCTCATGAACCACTCAAACTACTTGAGTCTAGATCACTAAACATTCAGCTCAACTTCATCCTGTACCCAAAACCTAACGCAAAATAAATTAACAAAGTCCAGTGCCATAGTAGAGAGCTTGTAGTTTATAATCTATGTTGTGCCAAGAAGACTTAATGTTTGATCAATGCATTTACAAATCAACAGGAGAAAGTCATTATATATGAATACTCTCATTTCTGAAGAACCAGAGCAAGACTGCTAGAGTTATATGAAACTACAAGAATAGATACAAAGCAAATGAGCTCCTGATATCATCTTGGTCATGGAGAAGTACAGTAATCTTTACAACACTCAACATCACACGACTCTGAAGCCCTTGGAAGCATGACAAGTCTGTTGGCGAGCACTTCTGCATCTTCCAAAGCTAAGTGAATAGGCATTACTGTCAGCTGTTTCAGAACCTCACCATTCTTCAAGAGAAACTCTATATCATTTTTAACTCATCTTCCCGCATATTGAGCCCCTGAAAGTAGACGTACATCAGCGTTGACAGTAAACACTGCGGCACACTTTCTGGTGAACACCAATCGTAGTCCCTTTCATGATCGCAGAGAGTATTCTAGAGAATTATATAAATCAAGAGTGAAAGATAAATTTCAGGCAAAAAAAAAAAACTAAAGCTGACATAGTTTACTTTGCTAAAACTTCACATAGGCGTATCTTAACTCACTTTCTGAAGGTTAAGAGACCGCAAATTGGGTAAGTTGTTGAGTAATACTGGCAAGAATTGCCAGTCCTCACAGTGCTCAACATTCAGCGACAACTCGATCAAATTAGGAAATGGAGACAGATTCTGATGAAGAGCAAATCTAATAGTCTTCACCAAAATCATGACGATTATGGTGAATCAAACAAATAAACAATCATATCTAATTAAATAACGAGAATCTCAAAGATAATGATGAGACCCTTAAAAACCTTAACATGAATTAAACTAAATGAGTTCAAGTTAACTTACAAACATGGTAATAGCAGAGAGAGTTAGAATCTGAACTTGAGATATCTCTCTAAAAAGCTGATATACATATTCTGAGTAATCCGGTTTGTGTCCACCAGGACGTCCAAAGCAGTTACCAAGGCAAATATAGGCATCAATTACAGAGCTTAGGCTCTTAACCACAAGTTTAGCAGTGAACTGAAGGCAGATATATTTACATTCAGGGGCATCAATAACAATCTGGTCCCCGATATGAGATTCTAAAAATATATTTAGTTTCTTCAAAACAGGAGCAACAATATTTAAATTCACAGCTACATGATCTTCTTTGTATCCTTCAATTAGCAACTCTTCAAGCACCGGGCAGCAAGAAAAGAGTCTCTCCGCTATTTCTTCAGTTACATTACCTATAACATGGAGGACTTTGAGAGAAGGAAACTCGATCAAGCTGGGGACACAGAAAGTCAATCCTGATTGCAGCTTTAAGGATACTAGTGTTTTGCAAGTAAAAAGTTCAGGGGGTAACATAAAAGGTCGAACATCCATGACATTAAGATCGATTTCGCGAACCTTTCGCCAAATTGCATGCTGTATCCAGCAATAAATGCAATACAACTCAGTCACTCCAGCACTATAAAATGAGAGCTTGAATTTTCTAATTTGAGCCGTGGTGCGATGACTGAGTACATGGTTCACCGTGGCGAAAAATGCCATCGATTCACTAGCACTCTGATCTGGATGGCAAGTTAACTCAATATCAGGGACACATCTCCACACATCCTTCCAGCGACGCGCAAGGACGCTAGTCCTTGCAGCAACTTTTGATGGAAGAAAAGATAATATCTGAGCAAGAACCACATCTGGGAGTCCACTTATCAGATCATCTTTGTTTTCACAATCTTGATCATTTTCTGATAACAAAGCATCCATAACCATATTCGGCGAATCGCTATAAACACTAGAATTAAGGACCAAACACGGAAAAAAAAATGCCTTTTCAAACCTCTGGTAAACTCAAATCAAGAAAGCACACAAATGCCTGCAAAATATATATTCAAGTCAAACAACTCAAAAGTCAAAGCCCTCACAAAATATAAAAAATACAAACAAAATGTGAGTGGATCAAATCTATAAAAACATACCCAGATACAGAAACAAACTTATCTCCCTAAAACTTATAGGTCTATTTTAAGTTCAAGTCCCCATTGCTTACCCTTAAATCCACTTGAAAAAATAAAATGAAATAAACTATATCTCTAGTCTTTACGTACCCAGAACTTGAAGTAGTCCCCAGTGTGATCTCCCAGTTCAGCTAGGTGCTGCCATTGTTTCTGAGCTCATAAAACTGCATCATTTTGGGGGGTCTCTAGTTTCAGACAAGAACTCTTCTGCTTCTCTACAACTTCTACTAAAAAAGTAGTCTCAAAGACACTGTTGAACCCGATCCCGAGATCCCACATTTCGCTTGCCAATATTTTTACAGAATCTATCGGGAAAAGAAAATGGATTCCCCCATGTTTGAAAAATAACAACTACACCCCCATACGTTAATAAAATAAGACCATAAGACAAAGTTAAATGCCCTTGTTATATATTAGAAATAAAACATTGTTAATACAATTACCGAATTACCCTTGGTATTAATGAGGAATAGAACATATGCATACAATGTCCCAACGATTAGGCTAGACACTTGCTTTTAATAACAATAATTTAATTGATAAAGTCAAATATAAAATATAAAATTTACCAATTTTCAAAATGTAATCTTCTGCAAACTATATAAAATTAATTAATATTTTAGAGGGATTGTAGTTGAATTATCGAGAACACCACTACAATTAGACTTGGCAAATAGGCGGGTGTACTCGCGGGTCAACGGGTACCCATACCCAACAGGCGGATACAGGTAACACATATTTTGACCTGTGAGAATCTGACCCGTACACGGCCCGCCCATGACTTTTGAAGATGGATCGGGTACTACCCGTGGACCCGCAAATTTGAAATTTAAAAAAAAAAAAAAAAAAAAACTTATCACTCGTCTCACTCTCAACTCAAACCCTAATCTAAATCAAAACAGCAAAACTTATCAGTGAAAAAAACAAAAAACGCAGCAGCTCATTCTCTTCTCTCACAGGCCACAGCAGCTCCACGACCACTCCTCAGTCCTCTCACAGCAGCTCCACTCCCTCACTCTCTCACTCTCACTACAGCTTCACTCTCCCTCATTCTCTGACTTCTCTCACGATAGCAGCAGATGCCAACAGCAGCAGGTCACGGCAGCAACAGCAGGTCACGGCAGCAGCAGATCTCCTCTCACGGCAGCACCAGCACTGCAGCAGCAGATCTCCTAGCACAACAGCAGCAGATCTCCTCTCACTTGTCAATAAATATATAAGCTCTCATAAGAACTCTATAAGTTATTATTAAAAAAATGAGTTGACCGAAAAATTGGAAAAGTAAATAAAAATGAACTGAAACATGTGAAATGATATCAAGAGTCAGGAATAATTACTGATATGAAGAATAAAATGTTACTTTCGTCCAAAATTGATATAGTATTTCTATGGTTGCAGAAAAAAAGGACTTAGAACTGAAATCAACAAGCAAGTTGGACCAACTTCCTCGGCCACCTTCTCAATCCCCACAAATCAACTGCGACAGATCTCACCATAATTATGATTTATGCGCAATCATCGGGTCCTACAGTTCTTGACTCCACAACATCTATTTTGTTCCTTATCGACTCTTCCATCTCAATGTCGCATTCAATTGTTGAAAAAATTAGGCCTTACCCTCGAAAATGGGAGAAGTTTATGATGAACAGAATCAAATAACTCACCATAACATCAAGCCCAAAAAGTTCAAAATGTGAAGTGCAGCACCATGTTCCAGCTTTAGTATTTAGTGCAGGCAGGTACACTGGAAACTTTTGGCATGAATTGAATGACGGGTTCATTCTCCTCTTTATCACCGTCAACTCAATCTTCCCTGATCAAGATTTTGTTCTTGTTATCAGTAAAGCTCGTGATTGGTGAAAAAGGTGTAAAATGTAAAAGGCTGCTGCCATTTTCACGGGTGACCTGCGGGTGACCCGTACCCACACGAGTGAGTACGGATCATGAAAATATCGACCCGTGAGATTTTTTCACCTGTTCCACCCGCGACCCTATTGCTACCCGGACCATACCCGCCCAACCCGCCCGTTTGCCAGGTCTAACTACAACATAAGTTCAAGTGATCGTGTTGAGTAACACTGATCAAGATTGCACTTGACTACAGTGTAATCGTGATATTGTATTAGAGTTTAGAAGATAGAAGAGTAGATTTATTCAAGTTTATTACAAAAACCTTATTAATCCCTGAAGGGTGTAAATGTTAGTTTAAAAACCTCGAGGGAAATAATGTTCTTATGGAGAATCGTGGGTGTAAAGTGGATTGACAAGACATAACAGTCATTATTGTACTTTTCAATAAAGAATTTATTGACTTTTTATTGAAAGTTGAAACTTTAATTCAGTAGCTCCAATTTCTTCAAAAGCTTCTTGAAAGTAGACATAAGTTTTATTAATTAGTTAATAAAACCTGGTTTAACCTTTTAATGGCTTGTCAGACTTTATAATAGTTCGAGTAATCCTGGTAAGAATCGGCAGTCCAAAAAGTTCCCAATTGGTTGCTTCAAATTGACCAAATTAGGAAACGAGGAGCACTTCTCATAGCCTTTGCTCATGCAAATTTTTTAACTCTCAACTTGCCGATTTCCGTAGCGGGCATTAACAGCGATTGTGGTGGCTTGCTCCTGATATTATCTATCAGGTAGACTACACCTTTAAAATTAGTTTTAAATAAATCATTTATTAGTTTTTTTTTTTTTTTTGTAATCGAGATATCTAAATCAATTTATATGTGTTTTGATAATCTATAAAGTTCATTGAATGTCCTGTAAACTCAATGTTTTAAAATAAGTTACAAATGTGATAAATAATTACAAGATTCGAACAAAAAAAATCAATAAAATGAGTAAACTTTCTTAACCGTCAAGACGATATTTGGAATTAGCTAGTTCCATAATTAGTAATTAGTAGATTTGGGATCCTAACATATTATGCCACGAAGAAGAGGGGGTATATGATCTACTGTGCTAAAAAAATGTTTGTGAACTCAAGATCAGGGTTGCATCACTCTTTTGTGTTTCATACATTAAAACTTCACCATGTCTACAATTACAAACAACCGCAACTTCAAGGAGAAACCCATTGGGCGGCCCAAGCCTAAAAATAATGTCAAGCAATGTAGGGCGGGGAAATACATTTGGTGGATGCCATGGCCCAAAATAAGCCCCGTAATTAGTTTATATATATATATATATAATTTAAAAATATATTATATACACAAAATTACCAAAAATTACTATTTATATAAATAATTCTTAACAAATAATCACATTAAAAAAAAAGAGAGTAAAAGTATAATGATAATTTCTTTTTCAATGAAATCTTATTATTTATTTTGTTATTTCTCGCTTGACTATTTTGTTATTTCTCCTCCATAAAATGATTAAGTGGATAATTTTTTTAAATCAATATCGGAACTTACAAACAGTTTAGCTGAGGTTTGAATAACACCACTCATATTAAAGTTATAAGAGTTAAACATTATATTAATAGTCTTCCATATTTTTTTTTTTTTTTTTTTACTAGGAGTGTCCGAGCTCATTATACACACCTCAACTAATCTTTGAGACCTTGAAGTTAACTATCGAGTAAGCTTCTAGTGGTGACCCTTATTAGAGTTTGAGGTTAATCAAACTTAAAACCTTTTGAGTAATATATTCAAAAGCCTTAATTGACCACTTGACCATCCAATGATGGTTATAACCTTCAATATAAAAAATGATAATATTTTCTTACATGTTTCACATAAATCTAATTAATTAGGTTGCAATAATTTGGGTTAAAATCAGAAAGAGTTTACATGGGTATTTTATTGTCTTTGTTTTAGATGAGATGATAAATAATTGATGATAAACTGGTTTGCTTATCCATAACCTTCTCTATTATTGATCAAATTGTACTATATTCTTTGTTTTTTTCCCAATCAAAACCCAAATCACTTTGAATTAATCCTAGCTCTTCTGTTCATCTCCAGTACTAAAGATATATTGTATAGCTACTCTTTCTTAAATTTCCTGAACAAAGTTATAATGAACTTCCCTTTATGTTTTCTCCTCATTCTATTACTAGTATCTATCTCATTCTCTCATTCATCTTCACCCACCACCATCACCAAACTTGAAGGTCCTCTCTCTCTCTCTCTCTAACACCTGTTTTCTTGTTTCTTTTTTGCTTATCCAGAATGATTGTGGTACTTAAATTCTGATTACTTGTTGATTTTATTAGATTATGGGATTCAGAAAGTGAGAAAATATTCATCAATACAAGAAAACCCGGTAATCATCTCTTCTTCTTTCAGGCAAACGTATATGTATGTATATACATCAGTTTAGTTTAATCTTTGTTGTTTTAATTTCAGTCAGTTGTTGAAGGTGACGACGATCAAGTCAAGAGGAAATACTTGCATGAAGTACATTCAGGACCCAATCCCATCAGCAATTCTCTTCCTCAACGCAAATGGAAAACGAGTTTGCCAAATCCATAACTTCATCTTATTTGCTTCTCTCCAATAATTTATCTTTAGCTGCAAGCTACCCGAGAATGCAGTAGATTTTTTTTTTCTCAGTGTCTATTATATTATTATTGTTATAATCAATCATTAACACATGATTAATTATAGGTTTCATTATGATCATCATCATCTCATTAATTATATTTAATTAGTCTTTTAACTTGTGCCCATTAAATAATTAAATATAATGAGTGTATTAATTAAGAATTTCTCACTTGTCTTAATAAACATGATTAATTAATTAATTATTTTCATATTTTCATATGTAAAATATTACTGTGAAAGATTCGTAAGAAGGTGACAGCTAGCGATGAGTATGTTTTCTTTGACCAGAGGGCACGTAGATATCAAAGGGTTACTTCATTGAATAGCTAAATCTGCTAAAATCTTTCGCTTAATTTCAATCTTGCTTTTTCTAAAGTTAAAGTTGCAAACATCTTTTTATTTATTTTTATTTTATTTTTTTATGGTCGGGTGTTCGGTTGTATATACCTCAACTAATTTATGAGGAACTGAAATTACTAAGTGGGTACAAGCTCCAGTGACTATCCATATTAACAGGTGTAAGGACTTAAACTCAAGAAACCATATTAGATCATCTTCTTACTCTTTTATTATTAAAGGGATTTGAACTTGAAAAATCATATTACATCCCCCATTACTCTTTTACTATTGAACTACCCAATGTTGGTTAAGTTAGCAACATTTTTACTTAAAAGAAAATTAATTACAGTAGAACCTCTCTATAGTCATAATGTTAAGACCAACTAAATTTATTACTATGAGGAGGTTATAATTTAATAAAATTATAGTTATAATAATTATTTTTTTATTTAAAAAAAATCTTATTTTATAATTTATGTTTTAGTAGTATTATGATTTTCATTCATGTTTTAGTAATATTAAGATTTCAATTCATTGTTTTAGTAGCATAGGATATCAAAGAGTTATTATAGAATTGAGTGTTCAAATTCAACAACTTCGTTACACTAATCAAGTGAATATTAATGTGTCTCAATCATCCAAATGAGTAACAAGTCATGTATGTTTTACTTAAAGAAAAAACATTACTAAACTTAGACAAAAAGAGGAAGGAGATAATCTTGAAGATGATAGTACGAAAATACCAAAAGTTTCGTGTCAAGAAACTCTAAACATACTTGAAAAGTTAGAAATATTTTAGCTTCAATAAGAAGGTGTCTATATTGGCGACTTATTATGAACCTGCAAGATAAAAAATGTGGTAATAACTTTATAGTATAAATCATTATCAAACAACTTTAAATAAATATTTTATTTTATTTTAAACATTTGATGTAATATAACATATATTTTTTGTAATATACATATAATTATTACTATGTAGAGGCAAACTCCTTAAAACAAGACCTAGAAAAATTATAACTTATTATTATATGAAATTTATTCTTATTTATAACTGGTCTAAGTTGAGACCATAATTTTTTATGACTATACGAAGATTATTTCTATATAGAGTATCACTATGAAAGGTTCTATTATATAATTTTCTCCCTCACATTTTACCCATTTAAACATATTTAGTGATACTTAAAAGAAAAAAAATTCAATCAACTCTAAATAAAAAAGGAATTCTGATATCAAACTAAAATTCAGTTAATTTATATGTGAACTTCATTAAATAAAGCCAATACACAATTATTGCAATGTTTTTCAAAAAAAAAAAAATGCTTTTGTTGATCCAATAATTATTAAAAAAAAGTTGAACAGAAGAAAAGACTGAAATTATTAAAAGCAAATTCGTACAATTCTGAAAAAAGTTCTTTTGTTGCTGTGCTTGCTTTTTTAAAAGTGCTTTTAAGAAACACGTGTTATAAAATCTGTGGTGACATAAAGCATTTTTAAATATAATTTTGCCCGTTAATAATTGCGGGGGCGTAGGCTGGGTAGTGCGGCGTCGTTTAGTTATCATGTTCATGTGCTTAACATGTTATAATATTTGAGTTTGTTATTTCTGTAATTATTAACATTCCTATTTTGACAACCCACGAAAGATCTCTTGAAATATTTGTCATTAATGAACAAAATTCTCCTCCATTAAGGACCTGCTACTCCAACTCCATTCACAACTTGGATTCAGTTCAAACCCATGAATCAACCTTATATAAACAAACACAAACAGTACTAGCTTCAATCAAAATTAAGTAGCTAATCAACAATGGCGCCCGCAAGCAGAAAAATCCCAATGAAGAAACGTGAAACCAGAGCCAAAAGAGCCGTCACTTTCTCTAAAAGACGTTACGGATTATTCAACAAAGCTGCCGAATTATGCATTCTTTCTGGAGCTAAAATCGCCATGGCGGTTTCTTCACCTTGTTCGAAACAAAACATCTTCTCTTTCGGACACCCTTCCGTCTATTCAGTGTTTGACGCTTTTCGTCACAATCGTGTTCCTCCACCAGTGGATGATGCAATCAAACGGTCAGCCGTTTCTCTCTATAATGAAATTAAGGAACTTGAGAAAGAACGGAAGAATGGAGAGGAAAAAATTGATGGGTTGTTGAATGATTTTGAAGACATGGAGAAAAATTTGAAGTCCATTGATGAGTTACTTGTTGTGGAAGAAAAGATGGAGAATTTGAAAGACAATGCGTTGATGAGATTAAGTGAGTTGCTGTCTTCAAACGACTTTGCGTCAGGAATTTTTGGCGACATTCATGTTCACAATACTGATTTTAGTAATGGAATTAACGCTGCTTTGGCTTCGGAATTTTCCCATCTTGATCAGATTCTTATGAATGGTGATAACAACTCCGTTTTCAATCCTGATTTTCCTGGGAAAATTGGGAACAATAGTTTTTTCAATGCCAATTTTGATGTTGGAATCAACAATGCTTCAAGTTCTAATGCAGTTTATCCTAGTGAGAATTTTCTGGGTGGAGAGACAATTAACCAGGGAGTTGAATTTGGGGCAATGGTGACATCTATTTCCAATCCTGAAGCTTATTTTGACCAAAACGATTCTGAGAATCTACAGGCCATGTTTGATGAATATGAAAACAAAAATCTTCATTTTTTCTCTTCTGCAGACACAGATCAAATTTCTATTGCAGATTTTGTTGACCAGAATGAGGCCATGCCTCTTGCAACGGTGGATCAGTTTGGGCAGCTGCTTTCTTATGGTCTGCCTTATTTTTTCCATTGATCAGTTTGTATTATTTGGTTGGAATAAATAAAAGTTCTTTTTTTCTCAACTTGTGATTCTTATTATTGGGTTGTTTTTAATTCATGCCTTGAAGACATAATAATATTTTAATTTAATTAGAGTTAACTATTTTTTTCCACCCAAATAATAGTTTAATAATACTTTTTCACTCATAGACTTTTAAAATACCATTTTATTATCCAAATTCGATGGTAAAGAGAGAGTAAACTTGATCCAAGCTGTTGGGCTTTTGAAGAGGGGATGTCATTGAGTCTTTTGGTGATAGAATGTTAGATTTTAGTGATTAAGAGTTATCGAAATTTGATTTAGGAGAAGCGGTTGTACAAACCCTAGTCGACGGGAGTAGGGTTTGAGAGTTTTTGGTGAGTGATAATCAAGAAAGAGAATGATGATGTTGTGGGATCGTAATGATGTTAAAATTGAAAATTGAACATAAATTTGAATAATAAAATAGTATTTTAAAATTCTTGTGGGTTGGGTGGGAAAAAAATGGTTTACTCATTTAACTACCCAAAGTTTAATGCAAATCTTGAACGAGCCAGTAGAAGATATAAGAAAAAGCAGTGGTCTGTTAGATTATTAATGATAAAATGGGGAAGGCGACCGACCAAATTGATAAAACTGTAGCAAATATGACAGAATTCAAGTTGAATGCAATATCAACTTATAATATCTCTTGATAAAGATAGTTGGTTATAAGGTCTCGATTCTGATAAATAATTTCAAAGGACTTTGATGGATGAAATTGATTTGATTATACATAACAGTTTTCAAATGAATGAGCACTACATAAAACTTATATAATTTTTCAATATTAAATCATGATTTTCCTCCATTGAGAAAGCAAATTGCCGAGATTGAGACGTTTGCGCTTTAAATGTGTGGGCATAATTGCAGATATTGACTGCCCCACAAAATTAAATTATTGTTTCCTCAACTTGTTCATTTCAACGATGCAAATTCCTTCTGCGTATTCTATCATTTCTATTTCTTACGTATACAAACTTTCACAAACTATGTTATAAATCATTTTCATAAAATTAACATATTACTTTAAGCCTTTATTTTATAATTTTATTCTTGAATAATCTTTTTATTTTCAAGATTAAGGAACTTGAAATGGTTTTCAAATATCTATTTTTCATTATTCCAACTCCTTTTTGGTGATCAGGGTCTGTTTGCGTGCACCTCAACTAATCTTTTGGGATCCTAAAGAAAACGATTGGTTAAATTCTTTCAATAGTCACCTCTATTAATACCTAGAAGACTTGAACTCATGAATTTATGTTAGACCACTTTACTCTTTTACCATCAGGCGTGGTTCTGAAAAATTATTACTGTTAAGAGTAATTATTACCTTTAATGTAATGCCAATACGAATAAAATAAATATGGAGAACAACCTCAATTTATGTAAATTGATATTACACTATCATATGACATGGTTTCTATAAAGACAAAACATTACAAATTGGTGTATATTGATACAAACAAATAGAAAGATTATTTGTTTATAAATGTTAACAAAATAATAAACTGTTTATCAATACCATCTAACCAGGTTCTTATTTAAAAATAAAAAAATCTTCATTTAAGAGAAATGCTAATATATATGAAGAAATTATTGAATACGATCCTCTTGAAGTTTTTAATGTTATATATTAATATAAATGAAAGAATGTTGGAATGCACTTTTATGGAATATTCTAATAGCATAAATGCAGAAAATAGTCTTGAGTTAGTGGTAGCTTAATTAATTATTAATGTATAGAAAAGATTATGCATAATCTTTATTAAAAAGGAAATTGCTTTACACCTAACTTAAGCATATTAATATTTAATTATATTATTCTTCCACTCATGCCTCAATAAATAAAATAAATATAAATGAAGCTTGGTAGAATAGAGCAATTGGGGTTGTCACGTTGAGAGTTACATCCTTGCTGTTTGGGAACTCGACATTTCATCATCCATATCTTTTCCTATAAATCCCTAAACCAATACTTTTTGCAATCAAACGCCCAAACTATATACAGTATAAATTAGGTTGTGTTAGGTAATACTTTAAATATATACATAATCCATCAATCTTAGTAGGTATATTTGGTCAATTTAGATATATTACTATGCTTTACGTTTCTTCAGCATTTTAAAGGTAGAATTCGATGTTGTTTTTAGATCCTGTACGATCGAATTCATAAGTTTGATTTTAAATGTTCAAAATTTAAATATTGTATTTATTTATTTATTTTTTAGAAAGAACGAAGTCGAAAATGAAGATAAAAAGTTTGATTTTATATGCTCAAACTTTAAATATTTAATATTCTATAATTTATTTATTTCTTAGAAAAAAAAGGAAATCGAGAATGAAAATAAGAAGTTTGATTTTATATGTTCAAAATTTAAACATATTTTCATTATTATTATTTTTTAAAATGAAAACCATAAAAACACGTTATTGAATTCTGTTCTATGTTTCAGAAAATGAAATTAGTAAATAAAACAAGTATATATAAAGTAAACAATGATTTTTTTTTTTTTGTTTTTAAAAAAAGCCTTAATAAATTCATCCTAATTCTTCATTATTGAGTAGCATAAGTATATTTTATGAAATTCTTTTGAAATATTTAATTATTTTGTCAATTAGAATAAATTTGAGCTGGAAACTATTTGAAAATTTCGAAGACTTATAAAGGTTAATTAAATATTAATTAATATATATAATCTAAATAAATAAATATATTTTGATTTTGAAAAGATCTAAATATGATAGTCACGTTTTAACTTACTAATTTGAACTTGTTATGTTGAGATGAAAGAGTCTAAGTCAATCTTCATTAATCAATTTAATTAATTAAACTCAAGGTAGGCTTAGACAATATTAAACTTCATTAATTTAAAATAATCAAGTCCAATAACTTATATATTTTTTTTTCAAAATTTCGATTACGTGGATAAATTTATAGCCATAAATAATTTTCAATTATTTTATAAAGAAGCTCAATAAAGATTATAAAAAAATAAAAATAAAAATTAGGTAGAAAGCACTCAGCAGGCTCGGTGACCAGGGAAATTACCAAAAAGGGCACTCTCGTATTTCCTTCACAGTCTCCGTACCCACTAAGGTACTACCACAAAACCCCACCCCCGAAAAAAAGAAAAAAGAAAAAAATATTAATTCCCTATATATATTAGTAATAGTACCTACACCCCCACAACATTTATACTCTCTTTCTCGTCCTCTCTCCTTCTTTATATTCAGATCTTGCACAATTCACTATCTTCTAGTCATCTTAAACCATTATTTTGGAGATATCTTCACTGGGTGTTGTGTGATTGAATGAGCGAGGAGGTTGTTGTTGTTTCAAGAAGGAAATTCGAATCAGGGCTTGTGATCCGAAGCAGGTCTCATTGGGGCAAGTGCGGTTAATTTTTCAAATTTACTCAACTTCGTTTGGTTTCCAAGAAAGTTTTTGCTTTTCCCAGAAGTTTTAGTCTTTGCTTGAAGAAATTTGGGAGAAAGAAGAGATCTTTGGGTCAAAGATGCAGCAAGATCAGCCGAAGAAGGTTACTTTCTCTCTCTTTCTCTATTGGGTCTGTTTGGTTGCCGACAAAGTTAGAGGATGATTAGATCTGGTTTATGGGTTTTCCTCTGTTGAATCCCCGAGGAAGTTGATAAAAAACAAACATGAATTCTTCACTTAGCCTAAATTTTTATTTTATCTGGACTATTTTTCTGTTTTTTTGTTGGGATCCTAAAAGTAGACCAGATAGAAACTAGAAATTCTTGTTATACTTAGTTTCTCTGCAAATGTGTTAATGTTTTTCTCAGTCTTGTTTTCATGGTTCGTTAACAGTTAAATTTTGGATGAAGTTAACATAGCTCATAATTCTGAACATTATTTGCAATGTTGTTGTAAATCTATGGGTAACAATTGTTATTATTTGTATGGTTGAATAGGAAGTGCTACCGCGATTCAGATTCTACTGGTAATTTGAGGGAATAACTGGAGTTCATTAAATTCTATGCTTGATTTCTTGATGGCAAATATTGTTAAGCTATTATGATTCTTTGTACATGAATTTGTTCTTGAAACTTTAAGCTTCTATTATTCGGGTTTGTTCATCGTCTTAACTGTCATTCTTCATCTGATGAATTCAAGGGTCTTCGTGTTTTAGAAAGTTAGGAATTTCGGTGTTGGATTTTTGCATAGTTAGGGTTTGGTTCTGTCTCTATACCCACATTTGCTTGCATGTGTTCTTGTTCATTTATTTTGAAGTCTGATTTTTTGTTTCCATTTCTGTTAATGCTTCAGGACTTGAAAGACAAGGATTTTTTCACTGAGTACGGTGATGCCAACAGATACAAAATTCTGGAAGTTATTGGGAAGGGAAGCTATGGAGTTGTTTGTGCTGCGATTGACACGCATACTGGAGAGAAAGTGGCAATCAAGAAGATACATGATGTTTTTGAGCATATTTCTGATGCCATTCGTATCCTGCGTGAAGTCAAGTTACTTAGGCTTTTACGGCATCCTGATATTGTTGAAATAAAGCGCATCATGTTGCCACCATCGAAGAGGGAGTTTAAAGACATATATGTGGTATTTGAGCTCATGGAGTCTGATCTTCATCAAGTCATCAAAGCTAATGATGACTTGACCCGTGAACACCATCAATTTTTTCTTTACCAGATGCTACGTGCACTTAAGTATATGCATACAGGTTATCTTTTCCCCTTGTTTGTGTTAATTGAGTTAATTTGTTCTCTTCATTCTGCAATTAATTCTATTTTGTGCATGTGTTAATAACTTCTTGTTGTTGCTAGCAGCCGCCCTTACATATTGTAATCCTTTCTGATTCGCCCGCCCCCCGCCCCCCCAAAAAAAAAAAGAAAAAAAAAATTCTTTGTATTATGGTTGATATGATCAGTCAGTTTCATGTCTAGAATTATTTTCTGGACAGGAGGGGTGTTTCTCAAAGTGTTTGCAGACTTTTTTCTGATTCTTTGTTGTTTGGTTGCAGCTAATGTGTACCATCGTGATCTTAAACCAAAAAATATATTGGCAAATGCCAATTGCAAACTCAAAGTTTGTGATTTTGGACTTGCAAGAGTTGCATTTAGTGACACTCCAAGTACAGTTTTTTGGACGGTATGTACTTACAGTAGATTCATCTGCAATCTTATTGTATGTCAATGTATTGTGTAATTTGGAGTTTGTTGATTCTGGGAGTGTTTACGAAATTGTCTTTAATGCTATTTGTATTTTCCTTATGTGCCTCACAGGATTATGTCGCTACAAGATGGTATAGGGCTCCAGAGCTGTGTGGATCATTCTTTTCAAAGGTATGGCTAGCCCAAAATGTGTCATCTTCTGGCTTATCTCCCTTCTTTAGATTATATTAGAATTGACTGGAGCTTGGATAGTTGTACAATGGGTTAATTTGGTATAGTTCTGTTGTTCAATTCACTACTTACCCATACGAAGATGGATCTCTGTAGCATCTCCCGGATTTACACAAGATCTGTTTTTTATTTTAACTTGAATGAGTGATAACCAGTGAGATGTATTTGAAACTGCTAGCATGTGTCTCTGTTATGAGCTATGGCATAGTACTGAAGCAACACATTTATTTCTCTATGAACTGCTTGAGTGCTTTATAGTAAGCAGTAATGCTAGATTAAAATAATTGTTGTTCAGGGAGGACTATGAACTCTCCTGGAAGTTGAAATGTCTGTCATTCAGGTAATTGTGTCAGGTTATATCTGTATCTCTGGAGCGGTTTCCTTGCAGTGTCAATTTTCTGATTTTGGTTTAATACTCATTGACTTGTATTACTTTCTTCATGGCAGTATACACCTGCAATTGATATTTGGAGTATTGGCTGCATATTTGCAGAGGTATTGACTGGGAAGCCATTATTTCCTGGTAAAAGTGTTGTCCATCAATTAGATGTGATCACTGATCTTCTTGGAACACCTTCACCTGAAACCATTGCCGGAGTATGATACATCTCTCGTTTCTTTTTTGTTTTTCTATTTCAATTTTTTTTCTTGATAGTTTGTTATGGTGCCATTTTTTTATTTTTATTTTTATTTTCCCAACTTCTTGATAGTAAATTTTATTTTGAACAAATGCAGGTTCGAAATGATAAAGCAAGGAAATACTTGACAGAAATGCGAAAGAAACCTCCCGTGCCATTAGCACAGAAGTTCCCAAATCTAGATCCTTCAGCACTTAGGCTATTGCAAAGGTTGATAGCATTTGACCCGAAGGATCGGCCTACTGCTGGAGAGGTTTGTCTTTTGCACTATTTATTGCAATAGGAATGTCACTACAATGATTTATTGGACCTGCTAATAAGTGGAGCTTTAGGGCATACACCTTATTTCTGCATAATATTTAGGCTTTTCAATTTTTTGATTAAACAGGCACTGGCTGATCCCTACTTTAAAGGCCTGTCCAAAATTGAGAGAGAACCTTCTTGTCAGCCTATCTCAAAGTTGGAATTTGAATTTGAGAGGCGAAGGGTGACAAAGGAGGACATTAGGGAACTAATATACCGGGAGATACTAGAATACCATCCTCAGCTGCTCAAAGATTACCTGAATGGAACTGAAGGCACAAATTTTCTCTATCCCAGGTTCTATTGCTTTCTACTTAAAGCCTTAATTGTTTCTTCATTTTTTAAATTTTGTTTTGTATTTCTTTTTTAGCTCTTGTTGACAATTTAATGTATCTATTGTTGCAGTGCCATAGGCCAATTCAGAAAGCAATTTGCATATCTTGAGGAAAATAGTGGCAGAAGTGGCCCAGTGATTCCTCCAGAACGAAAGCATGTCTCACTTCCACGGTAATACTAGAAGTCAAGTATCACGGTCTTTATGTTATTAGTTTTTCCAATTGAATGTGAATTTTCTACATCTCTCCTTAGTTATTTCTTTTGATAAGGCTAGAGGGGAAGCCAAAAGAATGCATACAGTTAATACATTTATGTATGAATTTCAAAACCAATGATGAAACAGTTTAATTGCTACAGAGTTAAACTTTGTGTCACTTATGTTCTAGTGGATGCAATTATTTTAACTGTCTGTTGTTTCCAGGTCTACGGTTCACTCAAGTACAGTCCCTCCTAACATACAGCAGCATGCGGCTTCCACTGACAACCGCCAAATGACTAATGAAGCTTCTAGAAATTTTAGAGTAACAGATGCGATGTCCGGAACACAGTCCAAGGTTTTACGGCCTCCACCTAGAGTTCCAACAGGTGTGAAGGGCTTGCTCTTTCTTTCTCTCAGCTTTCTTCCTTTTGCATATGATCTTTCTGGCTTATGCTAGCTTTAAGTCAGACAGTATTGGCAGTTAATTGGAGTAAACAGCTCATACTTGTGAAATATTGGGGTTTGTCAGTTTATTTAGTTTGTAGCAGTTGAAAACCTATTAGTATCCACTAGGCAAGTTTCCATATCAGGTCGCTATCACCACTCACTATCTTATCATGTTTATGTGTGTGGAGCTGGTTCCTGAGTGGGAACCATTTAGGTTTGGGTTTGGTTACCAAAACCACTAGATATGCCCTACAGGAACGCAATTTGGGATTGTCTTTTTCATTGGGTCATAGAAACTATTCTGCTAGACTTCTAGCATTTTGACTTGTTTGGGTATTAGCTAGGTAGTCAACACTTTCATTCCTTTGGTGTAATAATAAATTACTAGTATGTGCCACTATATAGAAACCCGTTTTGGGATGATGAGGCTTGGAACTGGAGTAGCATTTTTTATCCTGCTAGACTTGGTTTTTCCTTGGTTTGCTCTTGCATCTTCCTTCCTAACACTTCCTTTCCTATTTCTTTACAGCAAAACCGGGGAGAGTTGTAGGTTCGGTTGTACCATATGAGAGTGGCAGAAATGTTAAAGATACCTATGATGCAAGGACAGTTTACAGAAATGCAGTCCTTCCTCCGCAAACTGTCTCACCTCATTGTTTCTTCCGGACCAACAGCTTGAATCAAGAGAAGTCTGGAGTTGAGGCTGGTAGGGGTTCTTCCCATGTTAAAGCAGAACCCCAACAGTACATAATGGCTGCCAAACCAGTTCCTGGCATGCCGGTTGACGTAAACACCAATCCATATCACCAACCACAAGCCAAAGTAGATCAATTGACCGATCGAATCACCATTGATGCAAAGTTGCTACAGGCTCAATCCCAGTTTGGCGCAGTCGGTGCTGCTGCTGTTGCTGTAGCTGCACATAGGAATGTGGGAACCGTGCAATATGGGTTGTCTTAGCTGAGTATTATGTTAATGTTAGAACGTGTCATGCCATTGCTAATATGATGAGAGGCCCTTAGGTTGGGAATGGGGATTCTTGGGGGTTATTGGGTTCTCTTCTTTGGAAGAGACTATTTATGTCCTTGTGTAATTATATGTTATATCCATTGAATTTAGAAATGCAAATAATTTGTTTCTCATTGCTTTAGAAATTTCCATTGCTCCAAAATGAAAGAAGTTCACTATTTTTATCATCCTTTCTGAAGATGGACTTCTGAAGATTGAAGTTCTAGAGAAGATCAGAACAATATTATTACTATTNCGGGAGATACTAGAATACCATCCTCAGCTGCTCAAAGATTACCTGAATGGAACTGAAGGCACAAATTTTCTCTATCCCAGGTTCTATTGCTTTCTACTTAAAGCCTTAATTGTTTCTTCATTTTTTAAATTTTGTTTTGTATTTCTTTTTTAGCTCTTGTTGACAATTTAATGTATCTATTATTGCAGTGCCATAGGCCAATTCAGAAAGCAATTTGCATATCTTGAGGAAAATAGTGGCAGAAGTGGCCCAGTGATTCCTCCAGAACGAAAGCATGTCTCACTTCCACGGTAATGCTAGCAGTCAAATATCATGGTCTTTATGTTATTAGTTTTTCCAATTGAATGTGAATTTTCTACATCTCTCCTTAGTTATTTCTTTTGATTAGGCTAGAGGGGAAGCCAAAAGAATGCATACAGTTAATACATTTATGTATGAATTTCAAAACCAATGATGAAACAGTTTAATTGCTACAGAGTTAAACTTTGTGTCACTTATGTTCTAGTGGATGCAATTATTTTAACTGTCTGTTGTTTCCAGGTCTACGGTTCACTCAAGTACAGTCCCTCCTAACATACAGCAGCATGCGGCTTCCACTGACAACCGCCAAATGACTAATGAAGCTTCTAGAAATTTTAGAGTAACAGATGCGATGTCCGGAACACAGTCCAAGGTTTTACGGCCTCCACCTAGAGTTCCAACAGGTGTGAAGGGCTTGCTCTTTCTTTCTCTCAGCTTTCTTCCTTTTGCATATGATCTTTCTGGCTTATGCTAGCTTTAAGTCAGACAGTATTGGCAGTTAATTGGAGTAAACAGCTCATACTTGTGAAATATTGGGGTTTGTCAGTTTATTTAGTTTGTAGCAGTTGAAAACCTATTAGTATCCACTAGGCAAGTTTCCATATCAGGTCTCTATAACCACTCACCATCTTATCATGTTTATGTGTGTGGAGCTGGTTCCTGAGTGGGAACCATTTGGGTTTGGGTTTGGTTACCAAAACCACTAGATATGCCCTACAGGAACGCAATTTGGGATTGTCTTTTTCATTGGGTCATAGAAACTATTCTGCTAGACTTCTAGCATTTTGACTTGTTTGGGTATTAGCTAGGTAGTCAACACTTTCATTCCTTTGGTGTAATAATAAATTACTAGTATGTGCCACTATATAGAAACCCGTTTTGGGATGATGAGGCTTGGAACTGGAGTAGCATTTTTTATCCTGCTAGACTTGGTTTTTCCTTGGTTTGCTCTTGCATCTTCCTTCCTAACACTTCCTTTCCTATTTCTTTACAGCAAAACCGGGGAGAGTTGTAGGTTCGGTTGTACCATATGAGAGTGGCAGAAATGTTAAAGATACCTATGATGCAAGGACAGTTTACAGAAATGCAGTCCTTCCTCCGCAAACTGTCTCACCTCATTGTTTCTTCCGGACCAACAGCTTGAATCAAGAGAAGTCTGGAGTTGAGGCTGGTAGGGGTTCTTCCCATGTTAAAGCAGAACCCCAACAGTACATAATGGCTGCCAAACCAGTTCCTGGCATGCCGGTTGACGTAAACACCAATCCATATCACCAACCACAAGCCAAAGTAGATCAATTGACTGATCGAATCACCATCGACGCAAAGTTGCTACAGGCTCAATCCCAGTTTGGCGCAGTCGGTGCTGCTGCTGTTGCTGTAGCTGCACATAGGAATGTGGGAACCGTGCAATATGGATTGTCTTAGCTGAGTATTATGTTAATGTTAGAACGTGTCATGCCATTGCTAATATGATGAGAGGCCCTTAGGTTGGGAATGGGGATTCTTGGGGGTTATTGGGTTCTCTTCTTTGGAAGAGACTATTTATGTCCTTGTGTAATTATATGTTATATCCATTGAATTTAGAAATGCAAATAATTTGTTTCTCATTGCTTTAGAAATTTCCATTGCTCCAAAGTGAAAGAAGTTCACTATTTTTATCATCCTTTCTGAAGATGGACTTCTGAAGATTGAAGTTCTAGAGAAGATCAGAACAATATTATTACTATTGACTTCCTTGTGGCTAGAGAATGTTTAACAACCTAAAAAAATCTTTTCCGAATCCTACTAATTTGACAATGAAACTCTCAACTGTTCATTCTTTTGGTACTAAAACATCAAAATCACTAACAGTCCATTCTGCAACTTGTTCCTGACTACTAACATAAATTTCAGTCCCCAAGTCTATTGATGGCCAGTGTCTCTTTAGAGGTTCTGCACCAGGATCCTGATAGAAGTAAAGTGATTGAGATAATCTTCCAACATCAAGCTCCCAGGTCCTCGGATCACCGATCCAACCCTCGCCTCTCTTTGTTGGGTATCCGTAGTTGCCCCAAACCGGGTGTGGCAGAATCTGCAGGATTTCCTGAGGTTGAGGATTGCTAAATGCATCACAGAGATTGAATGGCTCCTCAGGATACTCAGCATTTCCTGGAGAGCAGTAAACATGATAAGCATCATATGGGAAGTTTTCCACATCTGTCCGATTGATGCGGGTCCTGTTCGGAAGCGTGTGATAAGGTGGACAGTGTTTAAAATCATCAGGTTTGCACCAGGAATATCCTACTTCAGGATTTATAATCATCTCACTGTAACGAGTAACATCTGAAGTCACATTCCCATCACAAGGCTGGCCATTGTTCTTCCAACAGCTTCCGATGTCCATCAGGTAAAATTGGCTATGTGGACCCCCTCCTTGCTTTATGTCTAATCTGAATTTCACCTTGAAGTTGGGTGACTGTGGAACCTGAAACAATGGTCTGATGTTATGCAACAAATTTGACCAAAAAAAGGTTCAATTTTTTTTTTTAAGGAATCTTACTATTTTCAGCATTCCCCTGGTCTGGTAATGGTAACCTCCAGAGAATCCTGTAGTGGCATCAGCCCTCAAGTAAAGCATCAGCCATGGATATTTTGGTGATGTCTTCAACAAATGGTGATAAATCCAACTCCCTTTCCCAATATCCTTCTCCCAAGTGACACTATAATAAGAAGTGCCATTTCCGGGTAACACTCCATCAGTAACATTAGCATCCAAATCCCATGTCCCATAAAAACTACCCTTTAAGCTACTGTTATTGTCCCCTATCAGACGGGTATAGTTGTGATACATCAATGGCATGTTCATGCAGCCATCGCCGAAGCACGGAAACCGAGATTCCATTGGAAATGGCCCATATCTCTCTCCATTTTTGGGGCACCTTGAAGCATATGTGTCTGTGTTACCACTCTTGAGCATCACCATCCAAAATTGCCATGGCCTCGGCCTGTCGTCCACTTGACATTTGTTTCCCAAGTAGATTTCTTTCTTTGCAGCATATCTATCAACACTTTTTGTCTTTATTCCTGCATAGGAGACGTTCAATATTCCAAGCCTGTTGTCTTTCTCATCCACCAAATGCTTCACCTCGACTGCAGGAATAAAGACAAATAAGTTTAGCAACCAAAAGAAAAAGAATATTGTAATTTACAGGAAAATATATATAACATCCCGTCCCAAGATATTGTCTTCGGATTTCTCTCTAACTTATAGAGTGTCCCTTTGACTCATCATTGAAAATGAATCAAAAGTAGATATTAGTACTCGTCTCAATGAATAAGGGGGACGTGCTTTGAGCCCACTATTTGAGGTGGGGTAAGAGACAAATCCTAAGGTGTTACAGGATAAATTGTCTGACCTTGATCAATAAGGTTAAAGCAATCTGCCATTCTGGGACTTCCCGAGTTCGGAGCTTCTTCACCGACTTCATTGCATTGATTCCAGGACTCAATGGCGACCCTAAGACTATCTCTTTTCATTCCAGGATCTCCAAGAGCTGACATATAATCTGAATCCTCTCCCTCACAACCCAAAATACAAATTCCTGAAACCAAAGCAGCAAGCAGAAACAGCCTGCAAATCCTCCAGAGCTCCATTTCTACCACTCTGTGTTGAGTTATTTACGATATCAATACAAAAAGTATAAAAGCCGGATCACATATAAAGAAAACTTTGGAGTATTGAGATTGAACTAGTTTTCTAGCTTAACAGAAGTTGTTTTGTTCAGGAATTTCAAAGAAAGTGGAAGTCTCCATGAAGAATAGAAGTTGAATGTTACTACTTCTCATTAGTAAAATATAATCTCCAAAATCTCTCCGTTAAATTAGCTAGAATTTTGGTCAAGTTTTGATATATTAAGGTTCCACGCAGCCCTGGAAAAGTAAATCCTGTAGAATTTTAGAGTGTAAAGGCATTGTACATGCACATCTCTATAGATAAATTCGGAAGCTCTTCAATCTTAGTTGAACTTGAATTCTTTCATGGCATAAACTTTTGAACTTGGGAGAAATTTTTGATAGCTGACTCTCATTAGATATTTGTTTTGATAAAATCTTATATTACTAATTAATTATAATATTAAAATCATTTAAGTAAATATAGTATGACCTAATTTGTTTTACTGAACTTGTAAATTTATCTCTCCATATATATATATATATATATAACTACATAATCATTGTGTTTGATTAGATGTGAAAAAGAAAAAATATATGGGTTTTTTTTTTTAATAAATATAATGCACTAAGAATTTTTAAAATTTTCTAACTTATTTTTATACCCCAATTCATTCAAGCATTACCCTTTTACTCTTTTCTTTTTAATACATATTTTGTTTCAAAATTTTAATTATGTTTATAATAAAGTATATGTTATTAAGAACATTTGAATTTGTAGGGTGGAGTAGATAGTTGCCAACTTGCCATTTAAACTAATTTTTTTTGATTGCATGGTTATTAAAGTTAAATTATTTAAAACCAAAAAAAATTGACAAAATTATGATTATAATTTTATTTCTAATCTTTATCCTCATCAATTTATGATATACTTTTATTTCCATTACTTCATATACCTTCTAAAATTTTGAAATTTATTTCAAATCAAGTATTAACCTAGAGTTGAAGCTTATAAAGGGAATTAATATTTCTGGTATGAATTGTTTTCTTTTTTCTTTTTTATACCTCAAGGTATTTGACTTTAAAGTAATTTCATATAAGGATAAGGATAAAATTATAATACATCAAATATTTTTAGAATTGGAGTTTTATTAGATAAAAGATGGGGACAAATAATATCACTCAAAATATGTACTTGTGTTTTTCTTTTTCTTTTAGGGGCATTTTGGGAAGTTCATTTAATAATGAACGAAATATTTATATTATTGGATGTTTACGTTGTATAATTTAATTATTATTTTCAAACATCAAATATCATAAAAGAATGAATTTGTAGTATATCTTATTGAAGTTGTGTTGTAATTCTACATACAAAATAATATTAATGATTATTTTATAAGTAATTTAATTGTTAGGAATAATAAATTTTATACTTTTCAAATAACAAAATACCCTCCTGTGGCTTCTCTTAAGTCTTAACCACTTAACCTTAATAAGCGTTCTTCTAAGAATGTTTCCGTTAGTTGTGGAGTTTATCGGGTTTTCGCGTTCGCCTTCCATAGTTAATTGTGCAGCTTCCATAATACGGGGGGCAAATGACTAAAAACTAAAAAGGCCATATTGGCTTTAAATTTAACTAAAAGGCCATCTAGTTTTTTAGTCTTTACTGAATGATCTTATTTTTTATTAAGGCAAACTAATGACAATTAAACACTAATCATGACTTAATTAGGATTAATGAAGTATTGTGTAATCTTTTAAAAATTAAATATATCCCAAAAAACTTGAAATTCTTGCAAACAAATCCAAACATAACATCTTCATCTTCATCTTCTTCCTCCTGCCATTAACGCATCCCTCCCCTGGTTGCTGTTTATTCTAAGCTTCGTCTACATCTTCTTCTTCTCGCCATTGACATCTTCTTTGCCATAGATCTCCCTCCTCCTCCTCCTCTTGACATTTCGTCCAGGTATGTGTATCTCCCTTTTCCATTTTATATTTTGATTACAAAGATTTAATGATGGATTAGGTTTGAGTTATGATTTTGATTTAGTTGTTTAGGTTGTTGGGTTGTGTTTGATGTAATGCAAGTTGAAAGGAGTGAAATTTGTTGAATATTTTCTTACATTGTGGATAGCTGGGGGTGGTAGCACCGATTGTAGGTGGAGATGACTAAAAATCTGTTCTAGATATGATGGATCGCTTAAGCGATTTGATATGTCTGGTATAATGCAACAGATCGTAAATCGCTTAAGCTATCAGGTATATGGCAGAAGATCGCTTAAGAGATCTGCTATAAGTCTAGTGTATGGTAGCATATCGCTTAAGCAATCAAGTAAATGACAGAAGATCACTTAAGCGAACAGACTTGTTTATATTAGATCGCTTAAGTGATCTAGTAAGCGATATACCAGATCGCTTAAGCGATATACCAGATCGCTTAAGTGATATACCAGATCGCTTAAGCGATACACCAGATCGCTCAAGCGACTCTGCAAATGCTTTTTAAAATCTTTCAACCCTTAATACATCAGTTAATAATATTTTTTTTTCTTGCATTATAGGTACTTGGCTATTATTAGACATGTGACACGTTGTTTTGGGTGTTGAATATTTTGGTGAGTAGGCAGAGGAAGAAAGTTGTTGGAAGTGGATTGGGAAGAGCAAAGAAGTTATACCAATTGATGTGAACACAAAGGTTAGTTTTGATGAGTTGATTGATGAAATAATTAGAAGAGGTGATTTGAGTTGCTCACGTAGTGATATAGTTGTGAAGTATGTTTTAAGCAGAGTTCCTGAACATTATAAGATACCTCCTGCTATATTAAAGTCGGATGAAGGTATGAAGTTATATATGATTGATGTGGGTGATAATGGTTCGAGGCCGATTTTAAGGGTTTCTTTTGTAGATAAACCATTGGAAGTTGGTTTAAAGGAAAGGGATAGCGAGGAAGTTGGTGGAGAGAATGCTGGTTTTAATTTGAACTACGAGGGCATTGATTTCTTAGTTGAAAAATCAAGAGTAGGCAGTGATTTGGGTGGTGAAGAGGACACTATAGAAAAGGTTAGTCATGTGCGGCAGAATGAAAATGTTGAGGAAAAGGACCCCGTACATGTTCCCACAGATGTAGAGTTTCCTTTAAATACAGATTATGCAGAAGGTGTAGTTTGTGAGGAAAAGAACATTATGGTCCTTCATGTAGGTTCAGAGGTGGCAATTGCAGGTAGTAGTGAATCAACTCATGTTTTTATTGATGGATCAGACTTGCACATAGGTTATTTATTTGACAACAAAGAGGCACTGGTGAGGAAGCTAAAACTTGTTGCCGTGAGAGGTAATTTTGAGTTCATCACCAAAAAGTCTAATTCATCGGTAGTGACGGTTGCATGTTGTGACCGAAGGTGCAAGTGGCAGGTTTATTGTAGAAGCTTGGTAGAGTCCAAAAAATTTATTGTTAGCACATATACCCGTGAGCACACATGTGGTTTGGGACATATTTCAGGTGAGCATTGACAAGCCTCCACTGATGTTATTGGACAATTTGTCAAAAGTCAATTTGTTGAAGGGAAATGTCTATCTCCTAAGGACATTAAGAGATTTGTGCGCATAGAGTTGGGGATGCGTTGTTAGTTATTGGAAATGCTGGAAAGTGAGACAACATGCATAGGATTTTGTGAGGGGCATGCCAAAGCATGGGTACGCAGTATTAGAAGCGTACTGTTATATGCTTGAGTTGACAAACCAAGGTAGCAAGATAGTTTTGAAGTGGGACAAGAATACGAGGTTTAAATATTTTTTTTGTTGCTTATGGTGCTGCTATAAGGGGTTTTGTAAACATGAGAAAGGTGTTGGCTGTTTATGATTGCTCTTTGATGGGAAAGTATGAAGGTACATTGTTGGTGGCCACAGCACAGGATAGCAAGAATCACACATATCCCGTTGTATGGTGTGTGGTTGACTCTAAGAACGACAAGTCATGGACTTGGTTTTTTTAGCAATTACGTACGATAGTGCCTGACAGTGACGAGTTGTGCATAATATCCGATAAGCATAACTTTATAAAGAAGGGGATTGCCACTATTAACCCTTAAGCACATCACAGATTCTGTATGAGGCACCTTGATGAGAACATAAAATAAAAGTTTAAGTGTGTTGGCCTCCTTCATACATACTACATGGCAGTAAAAGCTTATCAAGTTGATGAGTTCGAGGAGCACTTCCAGCAAATCCAAATCAAGGATGATAGAATTGCTAAATATCTTGAGCATGATGTTGTTTTGAGTGATGGAATAGAGCTTACTTTCTTAGAAGAAGGTTTGATGTCATGACCACGAACATAGCCGAGTCTATAAATTCGAAGTTGTTAATAGAAAGAGAATTTCCAATAGTTGCCATTTTTTATGAAATCCAGAGGACATTGTCATGGTGGTTCCATGAGTATCGTACGGAATCAGATAGTTTTACCACAACCCTTGTTCCGTCAGAGAATGCATGGAACTGTCAAATGCACTATTTGCCTATCCTCTTAATAATCAAGAGTTCACTATACACGACAATGGTCTGGATGCTCTAGTTAACCTTCTTAGTAAAACTTGCAGCTATAAAGTGCTTGACATTCAACGTTTGCCTTGTCCTCATGCACTAGTAGCACTGAAACACCAACGAAAGCTGGATTTTGGTTCAAGAATTTACATGGAACTTTGCTCCCCTGTTTACATGGCAAATCACTACATGCTGGCTTATTCAGAAACGATATATCCAGTTCCTCCAGAAGAGCAGTGGGTGGTGTCGCCAGAGTTGGTTCACATTATCATCCATCCACCATTCAAGAAGACAAAAAATTGGAGAAAAGAGTTAAGAGTATACCATCAGTCTGTGAGGTTCCCCGGAGGATGAATAAATGCTAAATTTGCAAGCAAATGGCCACAAGAGAAGCAGTTACCAAAATCAATCACATGCAGATCCAGAAAATTAGGTTTGA